GGTATTGTACATTTTTAACACTAAACAATTGGCGGTAAATATTTTTTGACGTAAAAACGGAATTGACCGAAATAGTGGAATATAATAAATTAAACTAAAAACAAAATAAATCGACTCAATTTAAAATGAAAAATGAATTCGTTGATTTCACGTTGATTAAAAAAGACATTTAGTACGTTAATGAAAAGCCAAAAATAACTATTTAAGTTAAAATTAAATTAACTTAACTTTAACTTTGTAACTCGTTAATGCCCAGCCTTGAATTATTATATTATATGTGCTTAAGAAAAACCAGACGAGTAACTATATATATATATATGCCGTGGACCACCCCCTCCTCAATACGCCACTGTGTGTACCTACACTGATGTTTAAATATCATATTTTACGGTGATTAATGATTACAAACAATTTATAGATTTATTTAATCGACGACGGATTAGCACCCAATTATTTATAATACAATGATCACAGTTTATTCCTAAAAAAATATTTACCCATTTCTCGTTCGTTATTATTTCATTAGTGAATTATAGCTTTCGTTTTGACGTCGTGTCAATTACATTTTAACGGTACACCCACACATTGTTATGTACATAATATTACAGTGGCGTACCTGTGGGGGGGGGGGGCGAAGGGGGCATTCGCCCCCCCCCCCCCGTGGGTCGTATAAATATATGTGACAATATATGAGAAATGTGCATTGTTAAATTTTTTTTGTGTTTTTATTTTTTTTTATTTTTTCATGAAGTCAATAATAATAAATGATAATTGATAACAATGTTATCATGTCATGATCAAGCCCTAGATTTTAAAATATTTTTGTTATCTATAGTCGAATCAGGTATTATCATTTTGTTTTGGCGGTTCGACCACAGAATAGATAATAAAAGCATGTGATAATATATTTGTAGTACTCAATATTATTTTTAAAAAGCAATTGAATGCTTATCGCTTTTATACTTTCTACTGCTTCAGTACTTTAGTTTAAAAAAAAAGTTCTTTAAGGTCAAACATTTACAGAACATATTATTATTTATTAAGATAAATTAATAATCTACAAAATTGGCCTATAAATCTAGGCACCTAGACACTTAGTACCTACCTACTGCTTTTTAATTATTTAAATTTATTATTTGTTTTATTTTATGCTTGTGCTGTAGACTAAAAACATGGCTACGTTCAAAAATGGGTCAGGATCGCTTATGTGGGCTTGCACTATTGCACATTTATCAAGAAATAAATATACCAGTGGACGAAATTATTGAACGATTTCCTCGTATGAAAAACAGAAAGCTAGACTTTGTATTATAAATTATAATTATAATAAAATTATTTTATAACATACATTTTACTATATTATTATATTAAACAATAATTTCTTTTTTATGTACCTATTAAAATGTTTTATTTAATAGGTATTTTACAAGTATGAAATTTCCATTAGGTTAGATTAGCTGTGACGTGTACATTTTTAAGAATAGGTAAAAATATATTTCGCCCCCCCCCCCCATAAGAGAGACCTAGGTACGCCACTGTAATATTATAGCTGTTAAGTAGGTAAAATAGATACCTATACTATATTACATACAGTGCCATATTTATGGAAGGACAAATGGGACATTTGCACTGGGCCCACTCATAAGAGGGGCCCACCATCAACTTCCAGCATACAGAATTAATTGTATACTTTTTTATCATACTTTTGGAAAACCAAATAGATTTGGTTTTAACGTACTTTGGGAAAACCAAATTGGATTTGGATTTTAGTTGGATATTTTGGTGGGTTATCAAATATGAGTTTTCCCAGAAAACGACGAACTTTATCAACTTTGCCGTTGTTACAGTAATAATATTATTATACTCGTAATATTACTATTGACGTTGTTGTATTGCGTAGTAACGCGATAAACTTCAGTCGTATTTATTGTATATCTATTAATTGTCATTTATTTATTATTTTATTAATTTAAAATGTAAAAAAAAAAGTTAAGTGGTTGTTCAATGAAGAAAAAATTAAAGAATAAACGTTTATTTATTAAGAAACAAAAAAAACTACACGATAGTTAAGATAAATTTAGGTTTAGAACTAGTACATCTACTAGCACACAATCGAAATATTTGTGAAAACTGATTAGCTGAAATCAAATTTGACTTAAAATATTTTATTAAAATTAAAAACATTTAATTTGATATATAAGTGTAATAATAAAAAATTGCTTTTTAATTTGTATATTTACTGGAATAAATATTAAATATTAATTAGACGCATTGAAATAGTGAAGTGTTCTTGTATATTAAATAATCAAATTTTTAACAATTCAATTGTATTCTATGATCCAACTATAGTTGCCCATAGTCACTCATATATAAGCAACTAATTACATACGACATTAATTTAAAAATATATTATGCATACATTTTATTTCATCGTTGAAGAAAATAGAGAAGGACAATTTGGGGCCCAAAATTGTAAATTGTACTGGGCCCATAAAGTGATAAATCAGGCCCTGATTACATATATTTTGGTCGGCGATCACCACTCTAACTTCTTTACTATACTATACTACTTTGAATTAGAATTCAAGAAGAAAATCTAAAAGGTAATATTCGAGTATAAATTATTATTAAATACACATACTTAAAATAATAATCGTTATGGAATTTCATAAATTTTTTGATTTTTCACTCGAAATCGCCCCACACTTCCCTGCGCAGGGTTTTGGAGAGCGAAGAACGAATAACACCGTGGCCGATTTTCGATTGAAATTTTGAAACGAACATTTTGCAGCAGGGCAACACAGAGAGTATGTCGGCCTTTTGCCTTTGCAAATACGAAGTAAACTGCAGAGTTTTCGATATTATATAATTTAATATATGGTCCGGCGTCACTACAGCAGCTGCCTTAGACTTGCGTATTATTGTAATAATATATTGTAATGGTGTGACACCCGTTATATTACTTATTGTAATAATATTATAATATCGTATTGTACGAAAATAGGAACGACTGAATTCGATACTAAAAAAACCACTAATACAAGCGCGTGGATCACTTTACGAAGTAATGCTGAATTTTTCCCGCTAACTTATTAAGGATTTTAGAAATTTGCAAGGCATTATATTCTACTCGAATAGAATATTGTTCAATCCGTTAAGAGAATTCATAGAATCGGATTATACCTTTGTAGACGGTTCTTATGTCTATCGTAAAATATAATATTGTTTAAACGCGACGAGGCGATAACTCTGAAATTTAATTCTACTAAACCTCTTCTTCTATTATGTACAACTATCACCACCTACGCGCCTCTTATTAAATTGTCGCTTGTCCCGTCGATTATTATTATTTGTTGTTATCGATTGGTCGGCCGAATAGTGTGGTTGGCATATTATTATCTACTTTGTAATATATGGTATTAGTGTATTACAGTAAAATTTTCGTTAACGGTCACCTCTATGTAACGGTAAATTTTTTCCGTCCCTCGTGGAGTGTTGCCCCCCCCCCTGTAGGACGGGCACCTCTGAATAGCGGTCATCATTTACAGTCCCTTCGGCGACCGTTATAATATGGAAGTCCTACCGTATTTTAATTGTTAATCGCACCGCGCAACTCTATCTGGCGGACGGGTGAGGGCCGCGGGCCGGAACCGATAGTCGATCGACGGATCGCGCCAGTTTCCGCCCACGCGACTGAATTGGTGAAGCTGCGGCATAGTCGCAATTTGGGGGGGGGCTTGGGTGTGCTTAGCGGCACAGAATTTCGGATTAAAATGTGTTCATATGTAAATTTACATTTCAATCCGACCATAAAATAACACTTAAAAAAATAGAAGGGGTGTAGCACCCCAAGTTTTAGCACCCCCGTAGCAGCGGCGTCGGCGGCGAACGAAAGACCGGAGAACCCGCGCCCGGAGGAACCATATTATCGGTAAGTGGTACGCGTCCACGTGATATCGTTATACCGCAGTATTACATTTTTCGATCGGACGTTTTTTTTGTTTTCGCGAATTTCCGTCGATATTATTATTGCGCAGAGAGGTACATTGTCGAGCTCGAAAAGGAAAAAAAATGATATACGATATTTTTTACTCGAATTTTAAACGACGGTGGCGTGTCGTAGCCGTTTTCCGACATCATGTCCCCGTGGGTCGAGTATATATATAGGTTGACCGTGCATACCCATATATATATAATATATATGGTATAATACCATTATTGCAGTGTACATCATACACACTTTTATACATAATATATGATATATTGTTTTCCGTATAACTCGAGCACAGGGTAGTTCTGCAAATAAACCTAGTCGGGTTGTCCACATATACTGATATACATATAACACGGCGTAGGTACACAGATAGAAAAAATTATTTAATTTATTACGAATTAGTGTTAAAATAATTAAGATGGTGTGTAGGTTTTCACTCACTAGAAGCTTGGTGTTGATACCACATCAGACGTATAAGTCAAAATAAGTTCTTTTAAAGGTAGTAATTTAAATAAGACACAAACATAAGTAATGTTTACATTATAAAACTAAGATTTTATATTTGTATTAAAAAAATTCTATAGCTGAAATTTACAGTATAAATATAATACATATATTTTCGTCTAAGTTTATCAATTGATTAAGACGCGAAAAAAAAAATACATGTACACATACATTAAAATATTAAATAGACAAAATATAACTTGGTATGAAGTATGAGTATGAAGAATACATTTTTGAATACAGCAGAGATGGGACAAGTTAATTTAATTGAATGATTAATGAATTCTATTCGAGTTGTTTCTAAAAATAATTATACAAAATTAATTTAAACTAATACAAATTAATGTATTATAAGAATGTAAATATCCAGTGACAAAAGAGTACAACAACGAGTTCACATCAAGATTCGTATGGTAGAATGACAAGAAACAAAGCTCACGGTCTTAACAAAAAGCTACACTCCTTTCATTTTATAGTCTCATTAATAATTATCAAAAATATTATGTATACATTAAAAGCTCTTACAGAAACACTTGAAAAAAAAAATTTGTCTTTAGTTGACGCTGCTACTTTAATAGATACAACTATTCAAGTTTTAGAAGAAATTAACTCAAATACAAACTCAATGAATAATTTAATTGACAGTGCTATATCATTTTCAACAACTTTAGGAATAAATCCAGAAAATGATTTTAAAATACACCATCGTCATAAAAACCCACCTACTTGGTTAGACAAAAACTCTAAAACTCAGGTAGAATTTAACATGCACACGTTTTATAGAAAATAATTCAAGTGCGTTCTACCTACTTTTACTACTTTTATTAATTTATCTAAAGAAAATTTAAAAAAATGTATTGACATAATTTTGCCGTTGTATAAATTATTTTCAGTCCCTTTTAAGAACGAAGATATTTCTATTGAAAATGTTAAAAATGCATTGTAATTGTTTCCGCCTAATAGTTTTTGGCAAAATGCAAAGATGCAGAAGCAGTTCAAGCTGAATTGGAAATGTTGAGAAGTATTGCAATTCAGTCTGATTTGACAACTGCTAATATATTTAAAAAATGTGAATAGATGAAACATATTTTGTCATTAACAAAAACAGTTTGTGATCTAGCTCTTACCGCTCCAGTCAGTGTTGCAACAAATGAGAGAACTTTTAGTAAGCTTTAACCCATAAAAACCCACTAAAGGTCTACAATTAGTGACTCCAGATTAAATTCAATGATGATCCTTGCCCCTTGGTATAGAGAAGGACGTAGCAGATAAACTTAATTTGAGCAATATTGTCAATGACTGGGCATCTTTAAAAAATCGAAGAATTCAATTATTGTAATTTTTAAATTGTATTATGTTTTTATAATTGATATTTATATACCCTACAAAATTAAAATTAAAAAAATAATAGAATTTGCATTTTAAATACACAATTGTTCTTTTTTTTTATAAAATTATAAGTGTATATTATATAGATTATTACTTATTACTAATTAAAAAAGATTACCCTAGTATTATTGTATGCAACAAATTATGATTCTTACAATATTAAGGTGAGTTCTGAGTACCTATGTGGCTATATCCTATTTACATTTGATATGTTGATACTTGGTCATATATTCATGAACCTACTTATTAGAAATAATTTTAGATAATTGTTTTTGGAAAATGAAAAAAACATTTTAAATTTACATTTTCAAATAGGTATTTTTTTGATACCTATAAGTCAATAACAATATTATGGATTTCATTATTCAAGGGGCAACATTTGAGTAGTTTTAATCTCGTTGTAGGCAATGTGATCTGTGTTAGTCGTAAATGATTATTAATGTGAGTATGTATGTATGTACCACTAACGCGTCGACGGTAGGCACTCGTACGCATATATACATTTTAAAAAGTAAAAACACGAGTACACGACCACATATAGTTAACTATAACTTACCTATTACTACATACATTGAGTAAAAAAATTGTAGTCGGCATTTTTCAGATTATTCACCCCCCCCCCTCCTTGATTTTCATCTTCGGGACGGCCCTGCCACCAATATCCACCTTTGAATATGACTTTGTATTTGTGGCTTATATTAGGTAAGCTTTATCTAAACTCAGTATGCAGGTGAAAGCGAAATTAAGAAGCCGTATGAAGCAGGAGAGATTAGATGATATGATGATTTTCATTGAACAAGAAGTAGCATCGCAGGTAAACCTCTCAGATGTAATTGACAAATTTAAGAATCTGCATCCTTTTGAGAGAAGATTAGAACTCTAATACTATTGAAGTTCTTTATAAATATTGTTAAATATATTATAAAAATTAATAATTAAAAGCTTTATGTATTGTATATATTATATTTGTGATGATTCCGGATTCGATACATGATATATCAATTAATTCTGCACTCAGTAAAAATGTGTTTGATCGTGAGTTGGACACCACAGGTGGTGCAGTTGGGTGGACCCTTTTTTGTCATAAGGTGTCGGTGGGTACATGAAGTATGACCTATTCTTAGGTGATTTATAATTGTTTCTTGTCTTTTAGAACTAGAATATATTACTCTATATTTTTATAATTATATTAAACATCACATGATGATTTTCAACACAGTAATTTGGGTGGTTTTGACTAAATTATATAATAAAAGACAGGTCTAAAATGGTATATAATCGACAATCATAATAAGTAATAACTATTTTATATTCTGTAGCCAATTTCTAACCTGTTATGGCAACCCTAATGAACAAAAGTTTTTCGTGAGTCAACAAAACCCAGTGTGAGGTTCACTTCTTTAAAATGTGGTTTTATTAAATATTTTCTTAATGGGCATTTATATTATGAAACGAAGGTTCTGTAAAAATTTCAAGTCTCTATAGCTATCATATTTTAGGCTCTGCAGCGTTGATCAGTCAATCAGTCAGGAAAATCTCAACTATATTACATAATATATTATATATTAATATTATATACATACCCATATACATAATAATATTATATCCCTACTGTATTATGGATATGCAGATACATATATAATATTTATATACTATAATGGTATGTGTTATAATTATATTTGTCGGTATTTCGGTAATAACATACGGTCAATTGGATATGGGTAATTAGTGTTATGAGAGTGTAATAAATAATTGTGAATAAAATAATACATTTATAATTTATGGACCTTAAACCTGATTGTTTAAAATGTTATCTGAATGAAGTCGTTTCGTAGAAATTAAAATTTTATCTACACTCCTTTTGACTTAAAATACTATTTTATGTGTTGAATCAATTAGTATTCATTAGCATTTTGTTGTGTTACAATGTTTCATAAATCGTAATATTAGGTACTAGCGTAGTTAGTATTATTTAAACATATTATTTACTGTTCACAATACGTCAAATTCGGTTAACTAATTCATTTATACTTATGGTGCCTTTTTAAATCATATTAATACATTTGTATATATTATAATATTAGCCTTATATTATTGTATTACTTACCACCATCAATGTCCAATAAAATTGACATTGACGGGGACAATGCCGACAAAAACTATGGCGCCATGTCGACATTGGCACAAGTTAGTACCTACATATATCGTATTTACGTACAACGACCTACATAATAAATAAATTAAACTCTAAATACGCTGTAGGTTTGCGCCACCATAGCACAGAGTTTCTTATTAGTGGGATTGGGCATGGAATTAACGATGTCAACCATTGTAATTCAAGATTTGTACAACAACCCAAAAAGTGAATTCTCATTGACAACGGATCAAGTATCGTGGTACGGTAAGCATAATATTATGTGTACTTATTTTATTTTCGTTTAGATATTATTTGAATTTCAACGGTTATTGCTTTAAAACTCGATTTATTAAAAGATAAGCTGCTAAATAAAATAAATAAATAAACTATACTGTGGTAACGGGACATATTTATCCGTTTTGGGTAAATTTTGACCTCTCCTCAATTATTTTGAAAAATTCAATGGGCAATTTCTATTTTGGCCTTTAAAAAGTACCAACTAGATCCAATTTACTTCTAGAAACTACCATTTATACTGCCCAATGATGAATATCGATGTAATGTTTCAACTATTTTTTTTTCGTGTAAACTGGCATAAGAAAAACACACATCATTGTATAACCAATACATTCCACTCAGAATCCAAAATGGCTCATGTTTACAAAGAAGATGAAATTGTTATTGTAACATGTAAAAAAAAATTTTGAATTGTTATATGGGTAATAATTATGATAAGTTAAGGTGACTGTAATTTGTATAAATTGTTATATTGTTTAAAAAAATATATAAATAATAAACAATATATTTTACATTTAAGAATATATATAGGTACCTGAATTTGTATGTCATTGTAAAGTGTGTGTTTTTAGATTCAACGTAGGTACCTACATTTTTAACACCCATTTTATGTCTTAAAATTCAAATCTACAAGTAATACAATTAAATGAATTTAACTACTATATTTTAGGTACATGATTTTGATCGCATTGCCATCAGTTCTTAAAACATCCTAAAAAATATTGATTACAATTTCAAGACATCTTACGATACATTAACAAATATAATATGATTTCCATAACCCATTTGAATTAAATAGTTAATATTGACTGTTCCGTTAAGATATATGTTTATCATGTAAGGTCAAACAGCGGAACATTACGGCATTATGACGCAGACTGTGTGCGGACAGGTGGTTGACGCTAGCTCGCTACAGGAAAAACGTACTTTAATGGGAAAACGATTTTCTTTTTAATTAATTTTTTTTTTTTAATCGTGCCCAACTTCTTAATAAATAAAAAAAAATTCAAACTGTAGCTGGAACGCGCTCCTATTTAAAACGCTAATAAATTATTTTATTTATAAGCACATATTGTATACAGGAAGTATATTATTTGTATTTCATCCGACCGGGAGTTTTCTATCGGGATTCCTGCAGGAAAGATTCGGAAGGAAACGGTGCATGGTTTTAGCCAACGTGCCCAGTATTTTTGGATGGATAATGTTATATTACACACACTCGGTGGTTTCACTTTACGCGTCCACCGTGCTGATGGGATTGAGCATAGGATTCAGCGAAGCACCGATATTGTCGTACGTAGGTGAAATAACCGAACCTAGGCACAGGGGAACGATGGCTTCGTTGGCGTCAACAGCGGGCATGATAGGGATGTTGTTGATTTACATTTTGGGATATTTTTTCGAATGGAGAACCGTCGCATTGCTGAGCACGCTTTGTCCAATCACGTGCATATGCCTCGTTGTGTTGGTATGTTATTTAAACGATATCCAGAAGGTTCAGTATAGGTGTGTGTACCTAACCTATACATAGTCTTATGAATAAAATGTACGGTCTTATGTTTTTTTTTTATTTGGTTTTTGGTTGTTTTTAGATTCCGGAGTCTCCGTTATGGTTGATCGCCAATGGGAAACACGAAAAGGCTAAAAAGTCCCTTTGTTGGTTAAGAGGATGGGTGAAACCCGAAATGGTCAAAACCGAACTCCTAGAACTCATTCGGTATAATGAAGTGTCTGGAGCTCGAAATTGCAAGGTCAACGTTGAAAAAAACAATATATCTTCGAAATTAGCCCAACTCATGGATCCGTCCGTTTATAGACCGTTCAGATTAGTGATGATTGTTTTTTTTATTTCCTACATAGTCTGCCTTTTACCTAGCAAACCGTATTTTAGCCAAATAATGAACGAAGTTGGTTTATCTGAAGATCGAAGTTTGTTGTTTGTATGTCACACAACAAATGATTATTATACACTCGTTTCAGGTAATTGGATTAATATTATATATTTTTGTTTTAAGGTTATTTTCGCTGTGCTACAGATCATCGGATGCATAATACTAGTTTTATCTGTCAAACACCTGGGAAAAAGATTTTTGGCTGTAATGTCAGTTTCGATAAATACTATTTTGTTAATTTTATTTGGTCTATACATCATGGCATTGAAAAATGGTTACACCGAATCAACTCCTTGGATTCCCACAATGATATTAAGCGGAATATCTTTGTTCGGAACTTCTATCAGCACTTTACCTTGGATGTTGGTTAGCGAAATCTTTCCTAACAAGTAAATACAATTCAAATATTATATGCTCAAAATATAAAGAAAGTAATGGATATTTATACTTAGATACTTATACTAATCGAACTAATAATCTAATCTCGTTTTTTCAAACAATAAACTGAATAATCTTTTTGAGTTAATCGATTTTAAAGAGATTGGTAATAATATATTTTTAGAGAAGATCGGTAAAATGAAAACGTAGGACAAATGACAATACTTATGATTCAATTTTATTTGTGTTTAAAGTGAAAATCGTTATAGTGTGTATTGTTATTGTCACCAATTGTCAATTGATTTCGTTTTTGGTTATTATTGTTTCATTTTAAGTTTTAAAATAAGTTGCTTATGATTTTCGTTTAATAAATTAATAAAAATTCTATCGATAATTACCGACATTAAAATATGTATTTAACAGTTAGGAATTCATTTTAGCTGTGAAAGTTATTACATTTTTTTATAATAATTATTTTTATAGAAGCCGAGGAGTTGCAGCTGGATCATGTGCAGCTTTATCGTATTTATTAATGTTCATACTAACAAAATCATATTTGATAGTTGAAATTAATTTAACCTTGGAGTACACTATGCTTCTATTTGGTGGCATTGGGATTTTTGGATTGGTCTACTTGTATTTTTACTTGCCAGAAACTGAAAAAAAAACGCTATTAGAAATCGAAGAATATTTCAAATAAAATGTACATATATAGAGCTTTAAAATTAATTAATTGTTTTTGTGTTATAATTATAATATATTTGAGATTAAAAAAAAATAATCTATATATGTACCTATGTATAAAAATGTACCTATAAAGTAAGATCAAATTGTATATTTGTAAATTATTGAGTTTGTAGTTTTTTTACTTATACATATATTCACGGTAATTTGATCGCAGAACAAATCTTATTTAAATAGATACAGTGCTCCCATGTACAAATTTTTCTTGTGTATTTTTTTTTGTAATTTGTAAGATATATGCTAATTTTTAAATTTTAGTTATCAGTTACCTCGAGATGCACATCGGTTTGGGTGTGACTCTGTTCGGAGGAAAATCGAGGCTGTGGCAACCAGCTATAGGATTCGCGTGAGTGTCTGGGTTTATTATTAATCATACAAATAGGTGATTTTTTAATGAATGATTAATCTGAGGTCAATTAAAAATATACTTTAGTGTTACTCAGACAGCACCACAAGGCTTTTATTACTATCCAAAAAGTTATTGTGACTGTGTACTTTAAAATATATAGTTATTAGAATATAATAATCAATAAATAATAATATGATTGGTATAATTTAATAAATATTGATAAAGACTTCACTGTTAGTAAATTAGATATACATAAACAGATAAGATCATTACAAACCATACACTCTATAACTCGTATTAGTGCATCGTTATTAGTAAGTTATACTTGTAACATAATATCAAACAAATAATTTTGAGACAGTGCATCCCAAAATGTTGAACGTTAAACTGTGCCCAATAAGGATGCAATTATGATTATAGGTGAAAGGAGAAATGACTTTATCATATTTTGGAGAAAGAAGTCCCTGTCATACTCTCCGTTGTTGAAGTCAAATCAAACATTATACTATTTGGGTGTACTTGAATTGCCTCCAATATCATACCCATGTTAAAAATCAATAAATTTATATACTATCAATTACCTATTAAATTAGTTTTTGTAATACGATAGAAAAATATTATTTTTATTTGCAATTATTACATTACAAATCATAATTACATTTCAACATTTATTTTTATTTTGAGGGTTTCATCACTGGGTGATTTTCCTCCTAATGTGTTCATGTTATTATTTATTATTTACATGCGTATTTTATTACCATTTTGTTTACTTATTGTGTTTATAAAATACAAATTGTAAATGTTTTATTGAAAAATAATAAAAACATTTTAACCGAAACCAAACACCCAGTTTTCCGCAAATTACCAGCTCCTGATCACAGGTCAAAAAGATTTCACTCTCGGAGGTGCACAGTGTCACGCAATCGGGCGTCACCGTTTTCGGCCAAAATGTACCCTTCCCTTTTCGGCCACTGTCCCTTTTCGGCCAGTTTTCTTTAACATGTATAATTATAACAACTGAACTTAACAATTTTTATATTTAATTATTAAATAAAAAATAAAACTATTGGCAATAAACTGTTATAAAATTGTATTATTATTGTTATCATATCAAGAAATTTAACAGGTAAATTAATAGAATAAAAATTAATGTAGCCATATAATACATATAGCCATCAGTGGCGTATCTACGGGCGATATATGGGGTCATATCCCCCCCCCCGGGAGGATATTTAAATTTAATAATTTAAAAAAAATTAATATAGTCCTATAATACCTATGTAATAATAATTATGATAACAAATTTCACTTTTTATAATTGTATGATATTTGTTTTACAAATTTGTAACGTCATATTTTACTATTTTTATAGTCTTCAATGTAAGCTTCATTTCTTCGTTGCCGTTCCACATTTTTTGCATCACGAGGTGTTTTTAAAATGTTAATAATTCTAATTTTTATGTATATATCTGTTTGAACTTCATTAATGAGGACAGCTAACCAGCTCATTATGGATGGAGTATGTTTATAAAAGCTTCGATTGAAAAAGGAGTGGAACGACTCGCAAGCATTAGTGGTTCTAGCCAAACTTCCCGACGCAGCAGCCCAATATTGAGGTGGAAATAAGCTCTCTTCATTTATGAAATTGTCAGTCAAGTAATCACTGCAGTATTTTTTTAATCTTTCATCATCAGGACAGTCCGACATAAAATTATTTACAAAACATTCTGATACTTCATATGGGTCTAAAAACAATAATCCAAAAGTGTGCCTAATCCATTGTCCTATTTCAGATGACATATCATTATAATCTACAAATAATCCTAATTTTTGTACACTTCGCCACTAAGCTTGGGTCAAATGGAATCTGCAACCCACTATTTCAGTGTTAGGCCAAACGTCTTCGACAGTTTTGTGAATTGCCATCCCAAAGTCTATCATGACCCATTTTGGAGAAAATTGTGTACTTAATTCGTTTGATAAATTATTTATTTTATGGAGAGTATATACATAAGTTTCATAAATTTTATTTAGTAATGAGCAAAATATAATATTAATATAATGTCCATTTTTAAGTATGTGGATGGTAAGCATTTGAGTGAAAACCCGAGGACTACATTTAAATGTATTTCCGATAATCACTTTAAATTTGTGTTGCAAGAAAATATAATCACGTGTTTTTCTATGTCGTTAAATAATAAAAAAGGCTCGACCTTCCTTCGTCACCGGTTTCATATATTCTAAAGCTTCATATACTCCGGCGAGGTCTTTAGGTACAGCAGGAAGAATTTTCATTCGCTTTTCATACATTTTTTTTGGTTATTCTTTTTACGTCTATAATATTGGCATTAGATGACACATTTTTACAAATTTCTTGCATTACAATTTTTTTTTTGGTCTACTATGAAGATCATCTTCAGCTTTTCTTTTACATGCTGAATGAATCATTTGACGATCAATTAAATTCCTTGTATATGGAGCATGGTTTATGTGTGTTACATTCTCGCTTTCGGAGCAAATTTTATTTGTTTGATTATCTGTATATACCTACTATAGCATCACACTTACGATCAATGCACTTCCAACGAGTTGTGCCGTCCAATTTTGTATTAGCTTTTGAAAATTTAAAAAGTTTAAAAACTAATAAAGACTTTCCCCGATTACTTTCAATAGATTCGGCCATAATTTAACTAATTTTAATTTTAAAAAAAACGTCTGTATGTACCACCTATGACCTATGTATACGAGAACACTTTCATACTGTTTTCGTGTGGGAACTTACGTATGCATACCCAGGTGTGATTTTTACCTGCTATATCTCGTATGGGAACTTACATTCACCCGACAATACAATATCCACCTGCGTGACCATATAGGATTATTACATATATTTATGCAAAGCGAATAAGGTAGATATAATAGATAGGTATTAATACATAGTACATACTTTATAATACCTAATACGTTTAATATGAGTAACATAATAATATTAATAATATTAATTTAATACAGAACAAAACAGGTGGCGAAGAGCCGACGATGGTACAGATACATCATACATATTACTGGTCTATCATGTCAATAGAACCACAACAACAAAGGAACCGACTGACAAATTTCTTTGTCTGGCGCCAAAATGAACGACGAGGACGTCTGTGTCTCTGACTTTCCAGTTTCCGTACATCGCTGGTGACCTGCTGAAACTTTAGATTTGGCGTTGATCGCCACCCAATATCTGCAGCTGTCTCGCCAGCTAATTTTGGATGTATGGGGATGTTCGGCTCAGATACACAGAGCCTGCCGTCCAGAAAACCTTTGGAATCAAAATTTTTCGACGATTCCGGTTTCCGTACATCGCTGGTGACCTGCTGAAACTTTAGATTTGGCGTGGATCGACACCCAATATCTGCAGCTGTCTCGCCAGCTAATTTTGGATGTATGGGGATGTTCGGCTCAGATACACAGAGCCTGCCGTCCAGAAAACCCTTGAAATCACAATTTTTCGACGGTTCCTGTCTTCGTATATCGCTGGTGACCTGCTGAAACTTTAGATTTGGCGTTGATCGCCACCCAATATCTGCAGCCGTCTCGCCAGCTAATTTTGGATGTATGGGGATGTTCGGCTCAGATACACAGAGCCTGCCGTCCAGAAAACCCTTGAAATCACAATTTTTCGACGGTTCCTGTCTTCGTATATCGCTGGTGACCTGCTGAAACTTTAGATTTGGCGTTGATCGCCATCCAATATCTGTCGATTTGGCTGAGGAATTTTCACACATCGCAGCCATGTTAGGCATAGATACACATCTATATGGCATATTTATTTGATAATATTATATAGGCACAATTAACGGAGAAGATTATACAGAAATATGTATTAATGAAATTTATCCGTAATGAACACAAGAAATGAATATTGACAAGTGGTAACTATGTGACACAGATATGAATTGTAGATTTTTGAAACATTCACGTACATGGCAACGATATTTTGATTGTTTGTGTTGTTTTCTTAGAGCCAATATTAATAATGTTAATGAAGTTGAGAATTTCATAATGCTTTACCAAGAATTATAATTAAGAAAAATTAATATATTATATTAATAATCATTAAGTAAGAAAAATGAAAATAAATTATATACCGTTAATATTATTTATATTATCAATAATAGAAATGATGGCCAAAACAACAACCCATATTATGCTAATATATAGATTTAAAATTGATTGTATTGCGTTAGTTTGGAAATTTGATAAAAATTAATTATAAACCCTCCTGAAAAAAATTTCTGGATATGCCACTCCCTACACTATTTATGTTTTACAACTTATTTCATATAAATAAAAATTATGAAATGTTGGCAGTTTACTAGCTACTTACTACCATTTCCTATATTGAACACAAACAGAAGTAAACATATTCTAAGGTGTATATTCGTCTGTGATGGTTGTATATGGTCTTGGAACCGAAAAGTGAAACCCCTTTCGATTTAATTTAACATCAGATTACTGCACAGTATTTTTGAAATTATTATTTACATTAATTTACATATATTTAATTTGGTTTTATAAAATGGTAAAATTATTTAATACTAATAATAGTAGATTATTTTTTTATAGCATCTCATAAATCATGATACAAAAACCCTAGTTAAAATTGTGTATCGGTACTCGTAAAACTTTCCTGAAGGAAATTAATGAATACAAATTTAGAGAAATAATTTTACCACTTCTTAATGCTACCCATACAACTCAGTTATAATAAAGAGAAAATGCACTTAACTTGATAATGGCCACAAAAACCTTCCAACCTACTTACAACCTGATTAAATTCTGAGAATACCTAAACATCAATTGTACACTAAATATCTTCCTTTTTATTAGTATTACAGAATTATTCTACACAAATTTAATTACTCTCACTATCATCTTTGTATTATAATATAATTGTTATTTAAAAAAAAAATATTAAAATTCAAACAAATTAATTGGCCATTTGAATAAACTATTTATTTTTTTTACAGAAACTATCATAATTAAAAATTACAATTGTATTTATTTAATCATCATAAAAATATTAATATTTTTTTATAAAAAGTAAGTAATGATAATACTGATATTATAAATCAGCTTGAAGATAAAAAAAAATTTAATTTTCATCACAAAGCAAATATAAAAACGATGAAATTTTCAATTATTAGTAAGCATCACATACATTTGACAATGCTAGTAATGTAAAGTAAATACTATCAGGATCTTGAACAACAAATTTTTCTTGGATTAAGTTAACTGTATCCTAAAAAAAAAAAGTTCAGTTAAATAATGCATTATATAATAGTGTTTTGTACAATTTGTAAACTATAAAGTATAAACTTACTTCAAGCAATGAATCTGGCTTTGTAGGTCCATGATTAATAGGATCAAACTTTCCACCGTCTAATGAAAATAAATTACTCCATTAAATAAATAATAATAAAATGTACTAATTAGTAGATTTCATTCTAACCTAATTCATATAAACATCCATCCTTGCAAACAAAAGCAATAAAGTGATAAGGTGGTACATCATCTGGATTGGGTGCCTAAAATAGAAAAACATTTTTAATTAGTACTGGGATTTTTAGTAAGAATACTAAATTAAGTAATTTTAAACAACAAAATTAATTTTATTAAATTGTAATAAATATTTAATATATGTTAAAGTTTAATGATTTTTTTATAGGGAAATTGTTAAGAAAATAAAAATCTTTAGAATAGAAATTATAACTTAAAATTTTTTTTTTTTTTATCAATTAATTAAGAAATTTACTTTATCGTGTTAATAATAATAATTGTGATTATACATTAGTAAAAGTTTTGAAAAACACTGGTTTTAGGAGGAATGATATTTCACACTAATAAATTAACACAATATTACAGTTCAATATTATTATTTAAAAGTATTTGTGAACCCCATAAAAATATCAATACTTTTAATAATAATACACAAAATATTTACCGCAGTTTGTCCTTCAGTAGCAATTTCCTTATGAGTATTAATCATATCTTCCGCTTTGGTCAACATCTCACCACGGTCACTTGGAGACATATTTTTTCCATCGTCCAAAAAACGTTTTAATATACCATCGTTTAGTTTTATCCTAAAATTTTAATTCATAAGTATCACGATAAGCATAATGACAATCAATCTTACTTATCTCTATTATTCGCAACACTATGAATCAAAGCCATGGTTCCACAAGCATTGTGTACATATTGTTTGACAAAATATATATCATCTGATACTTGTTGACCTTTATCTTTTAATTTCAATTCTTCTTCATTCTTACGCTTTTCATACTAAAAATAAATTTATATAATATCACTAATAAATTTCATTTTAATCATTACTAAAATAAAAATAATTTAATAATTCTTACAGCATCATTGTACGGAAATAACAATATTACAGAAGCAACTGGTCTAGGAACGATGGCAAGTTCATCGGGCCCAAATCCAAAAATATCACATATTTCCCATTCACTTGGTACTCCCAAGTTTTGCAAAAACTAAAACAAATGTATACAAATATTTTTCATATTTACATCAATTGATATACAAATTACCTTAGAGCTTACAGAACAAAATTAATTAAAATATGGCTAAATTGATTTAAATCATACCTATCACTACAAAAAAAAAATAAAATATTTGTATCTAACAATAGATTTTAGTAACATATTAATTAGATAAAATAGGTAGGTGGGATTTAATCACCCAACCAAGTGCATAACGATCGATGAGCATATGAACTTTAACAACCAGATAATCGTTCCAAATACTAAATCTCCCAATTCCCAACAGTATGAAAGGGCAAATAAGTCAAATAAAAATATTCACAACAGAATAATACTTTGAACAACCACATACCTAATAATATGATGATCGACATCAGGTTTTTAACAAAAAATATAGATATTGATACGACAAAAAGTTTTTAAAAGTGGACTTTGGCATGTTTGTCGCTTTTTCAAACTACCTGAGCGTAAAATTGCTTATAATACTAACGCTATTTCCTGGAGGGCAATAAACTATTCCCTGATAAAATATATATTTTAGTACACTTGTTATAACAAAATATTTTTAACCAGCAACATGTAATGGATAATTAATTAAATAAAATGAAAATAGTATAGGTATTACTATTATGTACTATTTAATTACTATTACTTCATTATTACTAAAATGTATACTACTTGTATTGAATACCACAAACCTTTTAATTTTACGAACAAAATTTCAAATATTTTACTTTTTACCTGAATTTGTCAACATTTTTAAAAAGTTTTCTAAGTTCTTACCTTGTTCATCACCTAAAACAAAGATGCATATATTATTATTATATTAAATATATATGTATATTTTAATTGTAAATTAAATTAATTACAAAAGCATAGGGTATAATCTTGAAAAGGATTAGAAACTATTTACAACAAAAACAATATTGCTAACTAGTAGACAAAATAAATAGAAACCGTAAGGTAGGTATATAATTTTATGGTTGTTGGAACAATAATTTTGATTGATAAAAACTTCTTTACCAAGATGTAGGTAGGTATGTGTATAAGTGTATTGAGGTTTGTATGATGTACATAGGTATCAAAAAATTATAGTCAACCAAATGATAAAAGCAAATTCAGACAATTACATAGCTAGTAATATTTTTCTAAAAGATGTCCCATAATATATACATAAGTCTTACTCACCGCCGGGTTGGATTCTAAAGGTATCCATGACGTTGACATTGTTACTCTTTAGAAGCTCTGGACTTACACGAACAAAATATGTATTTAAAAAAATGGACGTACCTAGGTAATTAACAAAAACTATACGTTCATAAAATAAATTGACTCGAGTAGAAAGTTGAATTACTTGAATTTACTGTTGATGCCTTGGTGTTTTCAAACGTGAAAAATAATTATTAGTTGTTAGCGGTTACCTACTCGGCTACTATACAAGTTACAAGTTACAACTACAGCTATAATAATAATATAATATTAATTATCAAGATGTGTTATGATATTGTTAGTCGGCAAATTCGTCTTATCAGTTATCACAGCGTTTTCTTTCCGCTCTATTCGCCGAACAGTGTCGCCAAGTGCCAAGCTCATTCCTTCTTTTCTAATTTTTAACTTGTAATTTTTGAATAATTCAATTTTGTACTTTTCTGTTCAACACACGGCTCTAAAATTTTAAAATTATATTTATTATTATTCATAAAATCAATATCAATAAAATTAATAGCATCAAATATACTTTGTAATATTATCATAGGGCTGACTGACAGTCTTCGCTCAGAATCGTTTTTCTAATACCTATAATGATATTATATCATTTAAATTTAACATCATCCATTACAGTGACTCACTATTGTAAACTACTGTACAGCAGAGCGACATCCACTTGCCCACCTTTTTTTAAATTACCTTTTATGAATATTTAGGTAGGTATGCTCTTATTTATAGAATTGATGACAATACAAAAATACCAAGCCATCCAAATGATAATAACAATGACTAGAAATTCATTTTAGAGATGTTTAGCTTTTCTAAAGACAACACATTTTTAATTCCTCATTTCAAAGCAGAATATTTTTCGGAGTACTAAAAATCGAATTTTGGAGAAATAGCTTATGAATTATGAGTCATATTTATTAAAAGTTTATAGATGAGCGAATAGGAATAGACATAACAGAGCTACAGAGGTAGGTAAGTAAAATATTGGTCCACTACTCTGCTCATATTAACTTTAAAGACTAGTAACTAACTTCTCGTTCGATATAACTACTTAGGGCCAGTTGTACCGTCTATGATTAAACTATGATTAAGCTTAATCAGCTGATAACAGATATTTAACTGCGGCCAAATTTTGCCGATTAAACTAAAATTAACTTTAATCAGAGACGGTGCAAAAGGCCCTTTGTTTTTTAGTTTTATATATCTATTATCTATCCAAATACTCCAAATAATATTCTAGGTCAGTCGTCAGAATATGATATTAAAAATGTATGGGTCGTACACTCGTATTCAAAAAAGTAAAATCTTTATAGCAATTAGCAATAAAAATAGTAAAAAATCTTTTTTTTTTAAACGAAGAAGTTCTAAATATAAAATATGAAACATTATAAATTATAATTAATCCGTTATTAATGTATAATGAATCACCTGCATACATATGAATATATTGCCTACTTATAAGATTATTTATAAAACCTAAGACATTTTGGGTAGGTATTAAATTAACAAGTCTTATAAAGTATTTGAGTAAAAGTATTTGAGTAAATGTATTTAAATACTTTTATTGTATTTAGAATACTTTTTAAATACTTTTTGAATAAAGTATTTGGAAAGTATTTTAAATACAGTTTTGGACGTATTTGTATTTGAAAATCAAATACTTTTATTTAAATACTTTATCGATTTTTTTTCAATAAAAAATGATTATTTATTATCTTTTTTCTCAGAAATCAAATTAATATCATGACTAAATAATAATATAGTCATGAGTAATATCATTGAAATTTAGTAAGTTTATTCCCGACATAGCCTCCTAAAATGCAAATTATTATTGTTATACTCCAAACTATAAACATAGAACCATAATGAAGCGATACTCAATCAGCTGATTCGGTTTACGACTTTACGTTTACCTATGATCTTATTTTTTTTCCTGTTGAATAATTGAATAGTATACATACGTAATATATACATTAATACAAATATTTTCACTACAGAAATATAGCATTTATATATAAATTATTTTCTCCAGAAGCTAGGTTTGTTGTGGAGATAAAGGTTCTTAATTACTTCTTATAATATCTATTTAGTTCTCATACAATAAATAATTAAAACGATCATTCGGTGATTATTTACTTATCATACAATTATAGGTACCTTGGTTAGTACCAGAATATGGAACATGCATTATAATATATGAACTATTAAGTATTAACTATATAATAATAATTAATATGTACAGTTTGAATGAGTTTGATCTCATGGTCAAATTTAAAGTTAAAATATCAGAGAAAAAATATTGAACTCAAAGGTAAAACTTAAAACAAATGTATTAAAATAAGTATTTGTGTTTAAATACTTTCTAAGTATTTGTATTTGTTCTTAAATACTTATTGAAAACAATACTTTAAATACTATTTAAATACTTTTTAAGTTGATGTATTTGTATCTCTATTTAAATACAAATTAAAAGTATCTTTTTACAAGATTGAAATTAACCTACCTGGAAATCAACCATGGACAAAGCATGGATTTTTCTTTCATAACTCGGCGCTGTTGATTATTTATTAGGTATATATTTGAGTTGTATTATTTTAATCATAATCGTCAAAAAAAGTTAAGTGGCTAAGAAAATCTTAAACAAACTTTATTAAAAGACAAAAAAACACTTAATGTTATTACTTATTAACAAATGCAGAGTAATTCAAAATGTGTTTCAAAAAATATAATATTAATTTGCATAGTTTGCCTATTTAGTTTTATTAAATTTATTTTTATTTTGTTCGTATTCATAATATATTAATTTAATCCATAAACAGTATAGGTAATAGGTATTAACCTAAATATGAAAAAAAAACAAAACACTTATATTATGAATTATGATGAATTACAAGCTGGAGGCAAGTGGCATACACTCGACTTACTGTATCTTTGCGGAGGAGGAATAGGTTCACGAAATTATTAAACAATTTTTTTTTTAAAAAGCACACATTATTGTATAACAAAATATTCTTTTCTTTACTCATAATTTAATACGTTCATGGGGATTTCTCGTGGTTAGGCCCCTTAAGGGGGCTCCAAATTTTTTTTGCACCTGGGTGCAAATGCAGCACTTTAACTATCAGCTACATCAACCTACAAACTCTTTTTCGCGAGAGAATGGCACCGGCGGCCGACCAAAACTTGTTCGCCGCCACGCATCCCCCACCAACTATCCGTTTTATAGTTTATAGTAAACTTACGTCTACACCTGTACCATTTGGATTTTATCTACACCGATAGAGTACTTCAGTAGCCTTGTATGGTAAGTATATAATATTTCCTCTACCATCGTGAGCCCAATCGTTTGATTCGTCTCACGATATTATACTTTATTATTTATTACTTACCGACGTCGATAAAGAATACACGAGCATCATCATGAAGAACGAAGTTCTCGAAGAAATGCCCGAAGCAATAATGGAATATTTCTGTGAACAAGTATTGAAACGCGATTGGCCGAACTGTATTCACGTGAGTATATAGGTACTATTAATTACTATATGATATTTAAAAAAAAAAATGTATAGTGTTGTGGATTGTACAATCTGTAAATATATTTTTATAATATTAAGCAATAAGCATAAATTATGTTTATAAGGTTAATATAAAATAAGAAAAATACTATAAAATACATTTTATAAAGGCTCATTGATTTCAAGTGAAGCCATCCATTGATGAAACTTCGTGAAAGATATAACTTTTAGAGTTAAAATCAAAATGCATTAAATTGATTTGTCTGCTGGTGTAGTTTGTAGGATTTTCATGTAGTGTTTGGACCCTTTACATTAAAATAATAATATAGGTTTCCAAAGTTCTAGTTAACTGTATATAAATAGGGACATGTATATATGTGTTAATTTACAAGTTATAATAGTTACGGAAACATATTTATGTAATGTAGGTATATATTATTATACAGGAATTACGAGATATATGTATTGTATTCTATATTGAATTATTTAGTTTGTGATGGTAAAAAGTACATACATATTATGTTATAAGTATTAAGTAAGTAGGTATACATAATATATTGTATATAGGCACTTATCAGGATGAATCCCGGACATTTCGGCGTGGCCATCTCGGCGTGGCAATTTCGGCGTGGCCGTTTCGGCGTACCTACAGCCATTTCGGCGTGGGTCGATTTCGGCGTAGTCATTTTTCATAAAAAGATTTTAATCGCGTTTAGATAATATAATGTTAGTATTGATTATATTGTACCATTAATAATAAAATTGAATTACCAGTCGTATTCGCCATCTGAAGGTGTAACTGAACAATTTTTACTACATGATAGTGGACCTGGAGTCGATAGAATTTTAATTTTTTGTCGCCCTCAAAATTTAAATATTTTATCAGAGTCTTCCAATTGGTATGTCGATGGCACATTTAAAGTAGCACCTCATTTATTTTCGCAAGTACCTATATGTAATATTAAGTAAATACCTCGATGGCGTTCATCCCCTTATTTATGCTCTTTTAAACGATAAAAAAAACCAAACGTATGAACGGCTATTTAAAATATTAATTGAATTAAAACCAGGGTTAAAACCAAAATCAATTGCTTGCGATTTTGAGCAAGCTGCGATCAAAGCAATTAAAAACAATTTCCCTGAAGTTCAAATTCACAGATGTCTATTTCATTTGACAAAAAATTTTAGACTTAAAATGGGTGACCTAGAATTATTTTCGAAGTATAAAAATGATGCAGAATTTTCAATTTATATTAAAATGATTTTGGCTTTAGCTTTTGTTAAAATTGACGACATTTACAATAGTGTAAACTTATTATATGATGAACATCATAGGCGTGCGCAGACCTGGATTTCGGGGGGTTCCTAGTTTCCTACAATATTTTTGGGCCCTTTCCTTAACTTGGGCAGTTGGGCCCTCTCTTAACAAGACATGTACATTGTACATAATACATATTTTAGTAAATTATATTGTACAAACAAATATTACTTACTTAGTTACATGTTTATTGAACATTCTAATACAACAGTTATAGATTTATAATAATATGCGTCTATTACTTAAATTATTAAACTCATTAATAAGTAATAACTAAATCTACTTCAACATTAGAGGCCATTTCTTGTTCCGTAAAAAGTAAAATTAATGATTCCAAACAGTATTGGGTCATGATACTTCTGAATTTACTTTTCACAATATTTAATTTCAAATATAACTACCTGTTCATATGAACAACTTGTACAATGCTAAACATCAAATAAATATTAAATATTTTAGGGCCCCAATTAAATGTCAGGGGGTGCCCAGGCACACCCGGAACACCCCGTGCGCACGCCTATGGATGAACTGCCTGAAGAAATATTTCCTCTCTTGGAATGGTTTGAAGAAAACTACATCGGTACAGTTGTAAGAAATCGTCGTCGAAACCCACTTTTCCCCCCTATAATTTGGAACGTTCATGATCGCGTACTTAATAAAGACGATCGAACAAATAATCATGCAGAAGCGGCAAATCATCGTCTTAATCTACAAATGGCAGTTGACCATCCGACACTATGGGCATTTATATCATGTTTAAGGAGAATACAAAGTGGCCGAGACACCTTCTTTTGCCAATTAGAAACAGGCAAAAGTCCACCAAAAAAGAAAAAAAAATACATTGACGTCGATAAACGTATTTTAAAATTAGTCTGCGATTATGATAATCGTAATATTATGAGCTTTTTAAGAGGGATAGCACATAATTTAAGTAAGATGACCTGAATATTTTTATTCATGATTTTAATAGCATTCTCCTTATTTTTATATTTTTAATATTTTAATATTATTATATACAGTTTTTTATACAAAAATTATTTATATATTTAATACAATTTTTATAGCATTCTAATTATTTTAATTAAATTTGTTTTATTATACTTAAATATACCTAATTATTATATACAGTTTTTTATACAAAAATTATTTATATATTTATATTTTATTATGACCTACCTAATTTCTTGAATGGCTCTACGCCTAAACGGCCTTACGCCGAAACAGCCGTACGCCGAAATGTCCTAGACCGTATTTACTGAATACATGTTAGAAATAGATGATATTAAAGTGAGTTACTAAGTTATGAGCATTTTTAATTTACACCATAGGTGTTATGTATGCAAAACTTACTAAACATTTGAACTATTGAAACCCACAACAAACACAGATAAGATTCTTACCATCAAGTTTCATAAGAAATCGATTCACTCTAATTTTTAAATGAACAAAGCTGAACGTAAATTTGCTATATTATGCAGTACACACTTGTACGACAGGGACAACAAATACCAATGTTATGTCCTTTTAAATAGGTAGAAAACAGAGATTTTGTTTTTAATTAGGTGGACACGATTAATTTTAATTTTAATCACTTATTAGTTATCAATAATTGGTAGTACATAAATACCTAAATAAATAAAAAAACAATTTAAATTTCATGAATTTACTGTTTTATTGATTATTACCAAATCTTAATTATTTCTAAATTTTTTGGATTAATTCCATATGCCTTTAATCGGTCATCCGTCATTGATTCTAAAGCACTAGGTTCTTTATTAGGTTTGTACTTTTTTACCGAGAACTTTTGTTTTTTATGCGATCCATTTTGAGTATGATCTATTTTTCGTTTTTCACCTTTTTTAACAGTTTTGTTTTTGTTTTGAGTAGAATTATTTTGCCATTTTCAGTTTTTTTTGATATTTTAATAATTTGATTTTTATTTGGCGTCTGGTCTATTTTACCATCTTCTGCTTTTTTAGCATTTTTAACAATTTTATTTTCATTCTGAGTATATTATTTTCTTATTTTCAGTTTTTTTAACATTTTTAATAATAGTACTTTCTTTCTGAGTATTATCAATTTTACCATTTTCAGTTTTCTTAACATTTTTAATAATTGTATTTTCTTTCTGTGTATTATCAATTTTACCTTTTTCAGTTTTCTTAACATTTTTTAAAACTAAGTTATCATTCTGAGTATGAACTTTTTTAGTATTTTCAACTTTCTTAACATTTTTATCATTTTGTGTTCTTCTGAGTATTTTTCTTGAAGTTGGACTTATAGTTAACTGTTTGCATATTACTCCTTTTCCATTTTGGAGGCTATCACTGTTTTTGGGTATAACTTCTTCAACTTTAAAAAAACATTTTTTATGGGTTCTTTTTTCTTTTTCTTCTTTTTGTTGTAACTATGTTCTTTATATCTTCCTGGACTTCATCTACCTCATTAAATCTAAAAAGTAAGAAAGTAAACAAAAAATACATTTAAACATTATTAGAAATAAAGATATTTTTTTTTATAAAATCTACTTTAAAATTTAACAATATTTAAAAGTGTATTTTTTAGTAATTAGTAATTACTAATAATTATGAAATGATTATTACTAACTACAAAAAATTTTATGAAAAAAAGTGATATAAACATATTTCATCAAGTTGGAAGTTAAAAATTAAATATTACTATGACTTTTTATAATATTGTTAAATATGTCAGTAAATTATTTAAAAAATGTCTAAAAACATACTCTTCTTTAAAAAGGCTAGGTAACATTTTCTTTTTTAATTCAATATCTTTAGCTTTTCGTTTGTAAATCTTAGCTTCAAATTTTTGAACAGCTTCTGGTTGAATTTTAGTTAATTTTCCCAGAGGATACCACTTATTAAGCTCATTATCATCAGCTCTCAAAATCTAAAAACCACATACAAATATGAATATTAACTATGAATTACAATAACATTTTTATTATATCAGAACCTCATCAATTGTCAGGCCATAATCATTGGGAAGAACTTTATTGTAAGTATATCTGGTTGGAACACCACTAACAATATCTTCACAGTCCAAACTGTAATATTCATCAATATATTTTTCAAATGATCCTTTCGCTGGATTGTATTTAGGTATCTTTTTAATATTGTTGATTTCTCCTTCATCTTCATCATCATCAATCATTGTTTTCTTTTTTTCTTTCCGTTTTGCAGCCCTAGTTTGCTTTTTGGTTCTCTTATCCATACTTGGATCATAGTCACAGTCCATCTAAAAAAAATTAAACACAATTAAAGTACAACAGATACATTTTTAATTTTTAATTAAAAGTTGATAATTTATTTTATATTTTTTTAGGAGATAAATAAGTAAAAATTAAAATACTTACAATAAACTCATTCTCTTCATCATCAAATACTGGTTTCTCATCATCCATTTTATCATAAAATTCTTCATCAAATAACTCATGCATTTTACGATCATATTCAGTTGGGTTGAAATCCTCTTCTAATTCAGTTTCCTAAAATATTATAGTTAACATATTAGGTATCTGAATAATTGAATAAAATATTTTTAATTTAACAATACATACTTCAAATCCTACACGCTTGTTTCCAGTTATTTCTTGAAGTTTTTTAATTCTGTCAATAATTTCTTTTTTTTTAAGCTTTTTAAGTTGTTTGATTTCTAATGACCGTTTTTCTAATTCTTTTTTTTTTCTTTCAGTTAGTTCTTCTCGCTTTTTCTTACGTTTATCTTCCTTACGTCTTAAAGAACTTTCCATTGTTCGAGGATAAGTTTTGATCTGAAAACGAATCATTTTTTAGTTCTACAAAGTTACTTAACTTATTGACAACAGCACATTTATATTTGACAAGTCTTACTTTCTAAACCAAGTAGACCAGTAGTCTTATAATTCTAATATTTATTTTTTTTTGTATACTGATTTATTATATTGTCAAATAATATCTCATCGATCTATTGAAATATTTTATTACCTAATACATAATATCGATGGCGTAGCGCACAAGTGTGATAAGTGACATTTTCGTAATTGTTCAGGAGAACGATTTTTAAGTTTGAGATGTCATAACAAATTCAAAAATGTAACGAACTGTACGACATCTATCGGAGTAAATAATGAACTATTCACTTACAACGTTTGGGCATAATGTGCAGAATTGTATGATTAAATTGATTATGCACTTAACTCATTTTTCAAAAAAATGTCACTTATCACACTTGTGCGCTACGCCATCGATATAGAAACTAATTTTTATTTATTAAAATAACCATATAAAATTAAGCAGTAAAATGTTTTATATTATTATCCTTAAATCAGTCACTTTTCATCATCGATAACACAAAAATGTGGTGAAACCGAAACTAACCAATCGTAATAATTGTTTATAAATATGTATACAATAGAAGCCCCTTATTAGAAATATGAAAAATTGATACAATCGCATTATTGAAAAAAAAGTCTAGGGCCGTCCTACTACAAATAGAAACCAATCGCCTAGTAGAAACAATTGGTTAATTGACACAATTCACCTTGATCCAAAAGTGTTCCTTATAAGCGGCTTCTACTGTATATAATTAAATATACAGAAGACCACAAAAAAATATTATGTAGACGTGTCTAACGTCAAATGATTGTGGGTCATCAAGAGTTTTTAACATGTGATATACGGTGTTATAATTTATAATTTTCTTACAAATTCTTTATCAGGTTCTTCAAATCTAAAATTATATTTATGTTCAAATTCTTCATGTTTCTCAAGCATTTCATCCTCTTCAGAAAATCTCATTTCATCTTCTATTAAACTTTCATCTTTTGGGTTTTCTAGAAATCTAATAAATTTAAATATAAAATGAATAATACATTAACATTTAAAACATGTTGGCAGTAAATTAATAATACCTTTTATTAAGGATGTAATCACATAAAAACTGTTCTCCTTCATCCAAATTAGGATTGTTCCAGTAATCATGCAAATGTTGAAGATCATTTTTTGTTTCCTCATCTTCCAGTTCATCTCGATTTCCTTTTAACCATTCCAAATAATCTTTTTCTTCTTTTTCCTAAATTGAACAAAATATTCAAATAAACTATAGGTAGGTACATATTTACAATTATTTTATTTATTATTAGTTTTCACCATATATATTCAGTGGCGTAGCAAACTTTAAATCATATTGAAGCAAACAAATTATTTATGACCTACTCCACCCTACTCCAACAGATGTATACAATACTCATATGCTCAAATTGGGGGGTGGGGTAGCAAACAAAATAAAGTTTGAAGACTGATCGTGTATGTGGGCTTTATGAGGTTATGACCCACCAACACCCCCCAGAAACCAGATGCAATTGCTTCTGAAAAACATGATTCGCTACGCCACTGTATATATTTATTATTAATTAATTCTAAAATTAGGTTTTATCCAGATCAATTGTATACTTTTAAAATTTCTTTGAATTTACCTGTTCTTCTTTAGACTTTAGTCGTGGTTTTATTATGTCTTCATCGTCAGAATTATCATCAAGAGCAAAGTTAAAACTTTCTTTAATTGCTTGCTGTTCCTCTACATATGAAGGTGATGACATTCGAACTTTTTCTTTCTTAAGAACATCTAAATAATAGAATAAATATTTTAACTACCTACGTAAGTAGTAACCGGAAAACTAGGGAGATTCTTGTTATTTTGAATTTAACAAAAATTATCTTATATTTCAATAAAAATAAGAATTTATTATACATAATAATACTATACTCTTAAAAGTCTTAAATCTTTCAAAACTATTTACCATTCATTTCTTCGGTGTCATCAAATTCTGGTCCCCGCTCTAACAAAATTTTCCTCTTATATTCTTCTAAATAAATAGGATTTGAACTTTTGTTATCGCCATCAGATTTTTTGATACTTTGTTGTGTAGTGGACGAGTTGAAAAATTTAACAGATTCATCATAAATCTTGGGATCGTCTTTCTTGAGACAAGACAATGCTTTAAAAAAACTTTTCTCGACTTCATCAGTCAGTTCCTGGACAAACCGACAATAGAATATGTTTTATGTATTATCAATTAATTTGATTTAAATATTATAATGAAAATAATATAAACCTTGGCTTCTTCGTCTTCGTCTTCCTCGTCTGAACTTGTATTGTTATTGTCCTGTGAATTCGATTCAAACGTGTTCATTTTGAAGTATTAATTACTAACGACTAATTTTATATTTTATACTCTTTAATTAGTCAACTGTTGCTGTAAACTTTAAAGTACTGTTGCAGTACTGAAAAACGTAAATTACTAAAATCTTATTCCTCAAATGTATAGCCGCAGCGTGAACTTACTGTAAACACGAGATTCTTTATCATATCAGTTTCTTATCACATGCTGTTAACCTATAAAATGATTGAAAAATGATATCATAGAACAATGATACACACGTTAAAATAACGTAAACATTATTCATTCGTAAAAATATCTTTCCTTGTGATTACTGATAGTCATTTTATGTTGTTTTTAGTGTCAACAATTTACTCAAATGACAAAATTTACTCGATGTCTCAATACTTACAACTCAGTGTCTTGGCCCATAAGTCACAGTTTCACTCTTCGTAGTTGTGATATTAATATTTTATTCTGTGGTCGAAGTCAATAATAATTGTGAGTATAATCACAGTAATGCAGTTCGTAAGAAAATTAATTTTTATATCGTTCTAGGCAGACGTTGTTAATGGTCAATGTTGAAAGTATAGTGTACGTTTATTTCGTGTATTCTTCTCAATAGAAATTTATCAAAAGGTACGTAACAATATTGTGAGAAACAATTGTATTCACTCTATTATGAAATCATGAAGAACGACTGTACCAAACGAACTAAAGCGTCTAAAATTCCCGTAGAAGTATCTGAGTCGTTACAAAAGCTTTCCAAAGTTGTCGACAATGTGCGACAATCAATTGGCAATATTCCTGTTATACAATCTACCAGTGCAAAATCTGAATCTACAGAATTGCCACCTGTGGCTATGGAAACGGAAGAAGAGATAGAAAAAAAAGAGAAAGAAACATTGTTGAGCTTTATTTCAGACTGTGTTACCAGGCAAGAAGAAAAGAAAACATTGAGACAAAATAATCAAGAATGCGTGTTCCCTGATGAATCCGATATATCTAAACGCGATTCTAGTTTGAAAAAAAATACAGCATTCATAAGAAAACTTAAAAATTTTCCTCCTCCTCAACTTGATCAGCTACTCAAAGACATGAATTCTTTGAATTTGACTAAATATCTATCAGAAGTTGTGTCAGCTCTTACCGAAATCAAACTGAAAATGACAGAAATTGATGCCATGATATTATTATGCACCCAATTAAATACAACTTATTCCGATTTTTCAAAAATTTTCTTTGAGCAGTGGCAAAAAATTTTAAACATTAAAAAAGATGATAAAATAGCAAATATGAGCAAATTTAGGGTTGATCTTAGGCTGTTTGCTGAACTTACATCTGCTGGTATTATACCTCAAAAAGAAGGTCTTGTCTTACTTGGCAATATACTAACTATCCTAATTAACTCTGATCTTCAGGAACATAACAATATAAATATCATACTTAGCTTTTGTAAGTATTGTGGCGATGACTATGCTGGATTAGTTCCTAAAGAAATGCAAGATCTAGCAGATAGGTTTGATGTTGAAATACCTAAAAGCAATATGATTTCCAGTGACAAACAGAAAAATGTAAGAGCATTGTTGAAGGATTATTATGTATCTTTAAATAATCACATAAAAAGAATGCATAATGATTTAGAGTACGCTGAGAAACAAAATGAAAAAATATTACAAACCAAAGGTGAGCTAAGGCCAGAACGTAAAGCTAAAAATGAACAAATGAATGTTACATATCAAAAACTTTATAGTTCGGCATTAACATTTGCTGATATACTCAATGAACCAGTCATCGTATTAAAGAAGAAAAAAAGAATAGTTCAACTGAGGATTTGACCGATTCAGAATTAGATATCGTAGGAACACCAACACCGTCAGAATTAACTAGTCTTTGGGAAGATGAGGAAACACAAAAGTTTTATGAAGAATTTCCAAATCTTAGTAATTATATTCCTGATAAAAACAAGAAGATTGAAGAACCCGAAGAGCCTGAAGCTGAATGTAATACAAAGAAAAGTTTATCAGATATTAAAGATGCCGTTGATGTTGAAGTATCCAATATTGGTACCAAAGTTATATTTGAATCATTTATTGAACAATTACCAAAATGTGTTAATCGAGAAATGATTGACAATTTGGCTATTGAATTTTTAATATATCTCAATACTAAGAATAATCGCAAAAAATTAGTTAAAGTGTTATTCAGTGTCCCTAGAACAAGAGTAGATCTGTTGCCATTCTACACACGTTTAGTAGCTATTTTAAATCCGTTGATGCCAGAAGTTGCTCTTGAACTTTGTTCTTTGTTAAAAAGTGATTTCAGGTATAACGTAAAGAAAAAAGATCAGATTAATATTGAAACTAAACTTAAAGTTGTTCGTTATATTGGAGAAATGGTTAAGTTTAACCTTATGATTAAATCCGAAGCGTTACATTGCTTTAAAATGTTGCTTAATGATTTCAGTCATCATCATATAGAAATGGGTTGTGCTTTATTAGAAACAGCCGGACGGTTTTTGTACCGTTCTCCAGAAAGTCATCACCGCACTAAAATTTACTTAGAACAAATGATGAGAGTCAAATCTGTTTCAGCTCTGAGGCCCGTTTATGTTACAATGATTGAAAATGCTTATTATTTTGTTAATCCTTCTGATTCTCCAGCTATAATGAAAAAGCAGAGACCTATATTACATGAGTTTATTAGACATTTACTTTATAATGAGCTAAAAGATGCACCTGAAAAAGAGAACATTATTCTAGGACTCCTTAAACAAATGGACTGGGAAAATTTTGCAGAGAAAACTTATTTGATAAAATGTTTGACTGAGGCTTGGAATGTCACTTATCCAATGATTTCAGATTTGGCATGTTTAGTTGCCGCTTTTGTTGATTATGATGATTCAATTGGAACTCGTGTCGTAGATGGAGTCATGGAAGATATTCGTGTGGGTCTAGAAACAAACTTAGTGAAATTTAATCAAAGGAGAATAGCTATGATCAAGTATTTTGGTGAGCTATATAATTATAGACTAATAGAAAGCAATGATGTGTTCAAAGTTTTGTATAGTCTTGTGTCATTTGGTGTAGTGTATGATCCAGATTTTTATTCCACATTTGATCCTCCTGAAAATTTATTTAGACTGAGACTTATATGTGTTCTACTAGACACTTGTGGAGAGTTTTTCAATCGAGGACCTGGTAAACTTAAATTAGATTGCTTTATTTTATATTTTCAATATTATTTTTGGTTAAAAAAATCAAGTACTACTTGGGATACTCAAAATCCCTTTCCTGTAACAGTGGATTACTTAGTTACAGACATATTAAAAAAACTTCGACCTAATTTGAAGATGAAAAACTGTTTTCTTGAAGCACAAAAGGTAGTTATTTTACTTCAAGAAAGACTTATTCAACAGTATAATCTCAACCAAAAAGAAGAATCTCAACTATCAACCATTGACGAAGAGGCTGATGATAGACAACATTTAGAAGAGGATGACTCTGATGTAGATTATACAGAAGATGAAGAAAGTGATGGTACTGTTTGTAGTGATAAGACTCCAGTTGAGCCTGTCCGTCGTAAAATTGAAGACCCTGAAGACTTTGAGTTTTTGGAATCTTTTGATAAAATGGTCAGCGATAATATACAAGAAAGGACAAAAGAAGCAATACGTCCTCAAACAGAAATATCAATACCGTTTCATTTAAAGAAATACAGTAAAAAGACTTATGAGCAGTTACAGAATACTAATGAAGATAACTCTGTAAATTTTATATTGATGTTGAAAAAAGGAAACAAACAAACGTTCAAGAGCTTGCAGGTGCCAGTGGATTCTGAAATGGCATCAAATCTGAAAAGCCAAGAAATGGCTGAACAGGCAGAGCTAAGAAGAGTAAAGCAACTTACTCTAGATATCAACAATAGACAAGAAGAGGAAGATTATAAAGATTTGGCTCAGGTAATGCAGAAACCAATTACTACTGCTTTTAAAGATAAAAAGCCACTACCAACTAAAGGAACGCCAGATGCAGAGACAATATTTGGGAAGAAAAAAAGGTTATCTTTGAAATATTTCACCTAGTCTATACATATATTGTCAGTAGTATGAAACACAAATACTCATGTTATAGAGTCTACAACGTAGGCAATTGTTTAATTTATTACTTAACTATGTTTGTTATTAACCCACCACCAAGCCCCGTACTATACAATTTATCTTAGCAGTCTTTAATCTAAAAATGCGATATTTCGCTGTATCAAGATATCTTACATGTAGTTAAGTTTAGTATGTGATACAATTATCACGGGAAAAGGGTAAATAGTAAATTATTACTTCTTATAATTTGAAATTTAATTTAATTATATTATAATCATGTTGTCTGTGGTCGTCTAAGAATGAGCTTAAATGAGATATACACTGTCATGACTCATGATACTGAAATTCCATCCTTAAAACAAATGAGATGTGCGACAATGATAAAAAAATTGTAATTAAATGATCTTTAGGAAAATGTCTGATTTTTTTGTTTATTTACTTGTAATAATCATTATTAAGTTTGCTACTATCAATTTTAAATAATAGATTATTATTATTCACTTTTATTTGAAAGTTTTGTTCGGTATATAAAAATGTTTTGAGTACATTGGGGATGGTCGCCTTGTGGTGGGGTAAAAACAAACAAGTACCCTTAACTATATTGTTCATGATATTGAATTTTATAAAATTACAATTTAAAACAGCAACATGCACATTTGTATTTGTGGATATATTGAGTTATTGGATATTATTAAGCCCTATTTTTGATATCATATGAACATACACCCTATTAAAAAGTATAAAGTACAATACCTAACATGTATTTATGAATAGTACTAAATAAATTCTTTTCATATGCATTCATGAATAGAGGCAATAGTTACGTTCATTATTAAATGTGATTTACTAATTTTTTATTCTTTGTTTTTTTATCTTAAAGTGACAAATGGGTTTAAGCGGATGAACAAATAGCTCCACGTTTGGTCCGAACACAACAGGAAAGACCCAGATTATTTGTGATATTAATTTAAGGTATATTTTGAATAATAATAAAATATATTTTTCAAAAGGAATTTTTTCAGCAGTTTCATAAAGAAGTACAAGTTAACAAAATTAATTATTATAATAATATGTATATTTATTTAATTATTTTTGTTATAAAATGCATTAATTTAATATCTTAAAATCATATTATAATACATTGAGTGTAATTTATTGAACTGCAGTTCTAATAAACTTTATTTTTTTATTTTTAATTTATGAAATATAATTATAATTCTTGTATACTTTTAACTGTATTGTTACTGTTGCTAGAAGGATAAAAATATTTATACAACTTTTGTCCCGGACAATAATTGACTGATAATTAATTCTTTTCTTTTTATTAATTAATACTAATTTTACATTATTGCGTAATAAAATGTACGTAAGGTATAATCTGTTTTATTTTATGCAAAAATAATGAGATATAAATATTCTTTCCTTCACTTTAAAGTTTAAATTACATACTGTCTGTTTAATGTTACAATTTTTAAATTATTATATATTTTTTTAAATATTTAAAAGCTAAATTATTAAGTTTTTGATGAAAATAATGTTCAAGTACTTTAATACTTATACTGTTGTTAATCAAATTCTAATTAGGTTGTAAATTTGTAAATATACATAACCATAATTGTCTGTTGATATATTATTGTTATTACATTTTAATTTAAGAACAAGTACCTATATTGAAAATATTATATTGTCTAAGTATGTGTGTATACTTTATTTTAATAATATGTCTATTGTCATTTAACAGTAAACATAGACGATAGACACATAGTGGTTCAACAAAATATATTATAATAGTTTTTTAGCAGTAAGATTATGTGTAAACAAGCCAAATTTAAAATTGCCAAATATTTTACGAAAATAATTAAATGAGAAATTATTTTTAATTATTATACGTCATAATAAATGTATATTGTATACACTCGTTTTATCAATTGACTTAAAAAAACAAACACATCAATGTAAAATTAATAACATACATTATACATCAATGTGTATTTAAATTTCATAAAATCAAAGAAATTGCACTGAGTAAAATAATTTGTTGGCTTAACTAAAATTATATGTGTACATTGCCGAAACTAGGGGGGTTAACAGGGGACTTGTGCATCCCCAAGTTTAAAATGTGCAACCCCAATAAATAAAAGATTGACTTAATCTATCATATTTTCATTATATTGAAATAAAAATTGCCAATAAATACAAAAATGTTGTACCATACTGTGTATTGAGTAATAGAATAAGTCTGTACTTCACTATTAAATGTTTCAACATTCCCAGCTACAACTGTATACCTAACATAATATTATGAATTAATCTTTTGCTTATTTAATGTTGTATAGAATAGGTCGCAGATACGAGATACGTCATATCATACCTAATAATATTTTACCTTATATTTTATTATAAATCAACAAAATAACTTTGAAAACAGGATAACAATATTTCTCTTGATCTTTGGCAGGATAAAAGACTTCCAATGAATGTGAGTGGGTTTACATTGTTTCCTTGTTTATAATTTTTTATAACTTATAATACAAGTAAGAGCACTTAGAATAGCCGACAATATTTCTGTTAAGGCGTTTTTTTTATGAAAATTAAATATTTCAATGTTTATTCAATAATTAATAATATTAAACAAATAATAAGAATTATAGAACCAATATTATTTAAAAAAAAAAAAAGAAAATACAAGAATTTGACAATCTAGATTTTCCAGCCATAAGGAAATATTTGTAATGACATTATTGATTTAGGGAATTCAGAGAGGAGAGATGGACCACGTTATCCTAAAGTCTGAATTAGCAGTATTTTAAATAAATATAATTTACTGTAGAGAAAAATCATGTTGAAATAGTAAAGTTGTGATCATTTTATTTCTTAATCTGTTACTGTTTCACTCATATTAAAATATAGTACATAAACATATTTAAAATTATTTTTAATATATAGCATATGACAGGAAGACCTGTCGGATGAAATAACTTTTGTTCTAATCAATATTAGATTCTGAGCAGAGCAATGAATGTATGTATTGGTTTTACAATGATGAATGTTTTTTTGTTTTTTTTTTATTCATTTTTGTCTGTGTACACGAAAATAATGCTTCGATTTTCCACTTCAGTATCTTGCTTGATGGGAAAGTGAATATTTTTGGTGCATAGTGCATTTGGGAGGTAAAAGTTTTAAATTTTAAAAAGCGCATAGAAAAACAAAAAAAAAAAAAATGAACAAATTTTCAAAATATTTTGATTTGTTTTGAGCTGTTATGGATATACTACGTTTCCAACTTTTTTAGGTTTTTTTTCTATAAATGTCCATAAAATCTTATTTGTTGGATAAAAAAAATTGAAAATTTAATAAAAGGCTCCTAATATATTATTTTTAAATGTAGATGAAAAATATTAAAAATCCAGTCACAATTTTTTTTATAATAATTTCGAGTTGAAATATTGACAAAATATGTAAAAATGAGGATTATTTGCAAATTATTTGGTGTTAGAAATTCATAAAAAGTTTTCTTTTTAAATCTAAGACTTCAAAATTTAATACAAGATTCCTCATAAGTTTTTCTACCTTTATCAAAAAAAAAAAAAAATGTCTACAAGAGAGTCACATTCAATTTTTATGAGCGTTTGAAGTTCATATTTTTACAACATTGGATATTCACTCCATTTCTCATGTAGCGATTTTCTTATTTTGTAGTAGGTTGTAACATAAATTATAGTCTTTTACACTACACGTGTAATATAAAAATTTATATTTATTTTTAATACTCAAAAAAAAAAATAGACAGTTTGTAAATCTGATTATAAGAACAATTTGAATAGCTTTAAATACTTATTTATTTATGTTCATATAATCTAATACCTATACATATTTGGTGCCTCGGCTAAAATAAAGTAGGGGATCCACTAGCTTGCAGGTTGAAGTGTCTAATGATGTGTTGACACTAATGGATATGGAAAAAATGTTAAGCCCCCCCATGAATGCAACCACTTATCCGCCTATGCCCGGGGCCCAAATTGTAGGGAAGGGGAGTGAATTGCCACTGGGCGCTGAATTGCTTGACACTGCACTGATTATAATAAAGGTATTTATGAAAAAAACATACTTTTAAGAAGATTTTTAAAAAGAGGTTCTTAGACTACATTACTTGATATGTACAACTCTAAAGATGCTAATGGCAGGCGTACATGTTCCATTAATTTAGGCAAGTTATCAGATCTATCATTTAATCTATGCTTTACCCAATTAATAACACATTCATATAGGTACCTAAAACAAAGAAATTAAATTAAATTAAATTAAAATATATTTAAATGCACTTAAACAATATCAGCAGCTCAATATTTTTTTGCTAAGAATTACACTTATTAATTATCCAACCCACATAAAAAATGATCACCTTGTTCAAAATTTGTTGAAAGCTGATTTTATAAATTTCGATCTGATCCCGTTCACTTCGTTGACCAATGACCATTAAAAATACCAACGCCATATGAATAATATTATTGACAATAGGTATTATTATAAACTTTAAAACTTATTTATATGTCTCGCACTCTCGCTGAGCGATTAGAAAATATTAAAATACCGACGAGGGTGGGAAAGGTGTTTATATTTTGTTTTTTTATTTATTATTGTGTCTAGATATTTATATGTACATATATTAGGTATGCATTAGTAAGAAGAAGACAACACATGCGGTTACAATGTTTTCTTAAATAATGATAATTTAATTCCGCAAACTTTCGTGTCTTTTCATGTACGTCCAAATTATTTTCTAATATTTGTACACCTACTTTCGCTTGTGGCTTACCCCTCTTAAAAACCAAGTGTCCCCTATGGTAGCTGTATTTAAGATAATATTACTTCGTAATAAACACTAATCATTAGACTACTAGAGTAAATTGAATATTGCACAAATATATTATAATAAAGCAGTTCAGCTCGATTTTTGTGATTTTTTTTGGAAACCTATAAGTAATGCGTATATTTCAACTAGTTAAGGGGTCTCACCAACAAGTCTTTTTTTGTCAAAAACTACTTTTTCTTATTCCAACGATAGGTGTCGACAGTTATCACGATTTTTATTCTGAAAAATATTCAGATTATCCATGATAATATCATATATACAAGGGAACAATCGAGCCACATTTTTAATTTTGTAATTTAAATTGCAATAAATATTGTAAACAATTTTAAAAAATTCAGAATTTCTAACTTCAATATTTAACTAACTAAATAAAATTTTAAAAATGTGCCTCGATCACTAGTACATGTTGTGGAAAAAAACAATATTTTGTCAGAATGCAAATCGACGTAATCGTTGCGACGACGTATTGTTTGAATTAGAATCGTATGTTGGAGTGAAAAATAAACATTTTTTCATGATCACAATAATTAATATTACACTAACATACTGACATGGGCGTGCGAGTGCCCTCCGTACAGCTAAAATTGACCCTCATGGACACCTCACACTAATTATCATTTACGAATTGGCAAATTGCCTAAATGTTGCTCCTTAAATCAATGCTATATAGCAGGGGTGGCCAGCGAGAAATGACTTGCGAGCCACCAAATATATTAATAAATATGGAAGAGCCAAAATGTAAAAAAAAAAAAAGGTCATATTTTTATATAATTTTTATATACATATTTATATATCAGATATTGTATTATTATTATTGTAAATAAGATAAGTTAAGGTATGGTATTTAATAAAATGTGAAGAATAAGATAACAATAATTGTACAATAATCTCAAATTAAATTTTATCTTCATAAATACCATAAATATCAAAATATCATACAGACACACATGGATAATGACTGCGTTAACTACATATAGTCCTGATTTTAAAAAGAAAAATTTAACTGTAATTTAATAATTTAATTTAATTTAATAAAATATTATACTTTTTCAAATACATAAATTCATATTAAAAAATTTTTTTTTTAAATGTTACGATAAGATGCGAGTCGCAAAAGTCTATGAAGCGAGCCGCGGTTTGGCCACCCCTGCTATATAGTGAGGCCCTTAATATTTTTAAAATAATATGTTTAATATATTATTTTCATTTAGTTTTCATTGTTTATAATTCATTGAATTAATTAAATAAAATTAATTAATTATTTTTTCTTTTGGTGTTATTCGTAACTGCTTATAATATAGTCATTAGTAGAGACCGGATTTTTATGTTTTTACATATCTTTACTGAGAGTATGCAGCTCCAATTGGGTAAGCTTTCTCGACGATTCATTTACCTATGAACTGATTTACACAATTTTTTAGCGCATAAAAAAAGAATATTTTAAGGTTAAAGAATATTTTGTATATAAAACATGTTTTAGGAATATATTGCCATAATGGGTTATTTGAATATTTTATAAACATCTAACAGATAATACATTTTTTTTTTTTTTTTTATTATTATTTAAAACTTGTTATAATTATTTTTTTTTGAGTTCATAAGGCTGAATTATTTAAGTTTGAGTTAATTTAATACATAATATTATTCTGTAGTTGAACTGTATGCAATCATTTTTTTATTATTAGTATTAATTTTTGAATTCATAAGGCTGAATTATTTAAGTTTGAGTTTTAATACATTCTGTATATATTCTGTTAATCAACTATATGCATTTATTTTTATTTTTTATTTTTCATTTTAGTATTATTATCATTTGAATTCATAAGTTTGTGTTACGGCAGTTAAATATAGGTAGGTACAACAGTATGTCAGTATATCACCATATTATATATTAATTAATACCTATAACTGTTTATTTTTATAAACTGTTACTTTTATTTGTTTTTTCAGTGATTAATACATTTTTATGAAAAAGAATATTTTTTCATATAAATTATTATTTTTATGAAATTATAGAGCATAGAAGCATTTTATTTTCAAGATTTTAAGCGCATATAAATCCGGTCTCTAGTCATTAGTCATTTATGTCGATATACCAGTACACAGGTACACTGCAGTATTATAATATAATATTATCAGGCATAGACCATCAAAATGTTTCATCGTTTTAAAAAAATCAGTAGTTTTTAATTATTTTGAGCTCATATGTATTATACTTTAATACCTATGGTAAGTTGGATTCCCTACACAATTAACAATTACCAATTGTATTGGGGCTATAATAAGGAATATTCATAATATCTATCTACAACGTATTATATAATGTCGTAATATTATAACTTCAATTTTTTTGCATTTCCAAAAATTTCAAATTCATGCATTCAATAACACGGAATAGAGTAGGTATCAGAGTAGGTAATTCAATATTTCTTATTTATCAGCTAACCAAATTAATAGGTACATCGTGCTTATTGTATTATAATATAATACCATCGGTCGTGTTTGACTTATAGCTATATTATATTATAATATTCTCGTATTATCACTATGAATTGCGCTGCAGAAGACCAATCCGTCAACGTGCAGTCGACCGAAACGGAAGTGATGCAAAGCGTATTTGCGGAATTGCGCGCGGCAAGTTTCCATCACGTTCCTGAACGGACGCTGTTGAAGTTTAGTCGGTACGTCACCGGGGACCATCCTTGATTAGCTACCGATACCGGTCCTTGGAAAACGTCACCGGACTAGCCGCGATTAGCCGCCCGCAGTCCACGACCGCAAACGTCACAGTACTTTGCCGAGGACCAAAATATGCTGGAGCAGACGACACGGCCACGGCGGAACAAGCAGAGAGCAGCCGTAAGCCGTCTGACGCCCAGTCGATGGGCCTCGATCTGGTCGACCCGCAGCCGGCTGCCCCTGTTTACCGGAAACTGGAAAGTCCCACTGCCACCACACCGCGCCGGCCCGTCAGTGTCCGTCGACCGGCCCCTTGTGCTCATCCCGGGCAACGTTTTCGATGCTCCGGAAGTCCCGCCGCCATCAGATGACCGGACGAGACGAGACGAGACCGTGCCAGAACTGCCAACCGTTCCCGCGGCGCGTTCCGGCCGGGCAGAACTGGAACCGGACAGACAGCGACGCAAGCCGGGTAGTGGCCGCCGTGGACGACCCCGAGGCCAAATCTAAAAAACCACACTTTGGAGACGGACGAAGCGGATCGTCCGTCGCATGTTTTGTTGCGGCGTTTGAGCGATTACCGTCACGGTTGACTGGCACGTTATCCGGTCGGCGAACTTTTCGTGTCCGACTATATTGTTTTCCCGCCGGACAAGTCTTTAACCGACTTGTACACTTTGTTTATTTATTGACCAACCAAAATATACGATATTAAAAACGAATTCAACTTTTGAGAAACAAATTTAGCTTTCTAACGACTTTTTATGTGAGGCTTGTGATGGGACATTTATACACGCTTATATTATAATGCAAGGCTGGGCAAGTTAATGATTTTTTTTAACTCAGTTAAGTTAAGTTAATATGCACCAATAACAAAAAGTTAAAAGTTAAAAGTTAATTTAATTTTAGGTTAACTCAGTTAAGTTAAAAGTTAATACACATTTTTTTTTAACTTTTTATTAAGTTAAATAAATAATAATTGTAATAATTGCCTATAATTGTATAATTTACTATACGTCTATATACCTGCGTATATCTGGGCCCAACATATAGTATAAATGTAATATAATAGTTAACTGCTCGCATACTTCTTAGTTCTTACATAATATCATATCTTTTTTTATAACCGTCGGGTGAATAGGTACGTGGGCAAAGATATACTGCACGAGTGAATATTATTTTTTATTATATTTTGTGATACTGAAATAAGGTCGTCCAGATTTTCGTGAAAAATAATAGCGTCGTCAAACGATAAAATAATCTGAACTAACCTCGCGCGAACGATACAAAGACAAATAAAATATTGTTTACAGATTAATTTAACAGACAATGATTTGAAGTATTTTTAAACAAAAAAAATAAAATATCGTATTGGCCACGGTTTTGAATGTCAACTGCTGTAGTTTTGCAATTTCAAGTTTGCATATAATTTATATTTAATATTCAAGTTTTTTCCACATAAAATTGTAAGTTAATTCATCCATTATAGATGTGTAAAATAGCTATACCTAATATAATATTAAATAAGTTGTATAAACAATCCAATCTGCATAAATCTTAAACCTGTCAACAGCAAATGTCAATACTATATATTTTTAGAGTTTGGAATAACGAATATAGGTATGTTGTCCTAGACATTTGCTTTGCAGTTAGCTGAACTTTCCCCCCTATTTTTTTTATGTAAAACTACTTCTATAGACTATAGTGTAGTAAAGAATTAAAATATTATCTTATTTTAAATTTTTTTCGAATCTGCAGGTTGCAGACGAATCGGTTAAAGTACGTTTTAGAAATCGGATGAACATTGAACACAAGCAATTAATCATTTCCGGTTCAAACTTTTTTTTATATAGCGATATACAATACTATTATACGAGGTATGTATGATACGCATGCTATACAATTATTTTATTCCTACATGTTGTAAAAAAATATACAGGTATTAGTTAGTATATTATCTGCAGATATTTGATATTTAAGAACTGAAACTACATGATTTTAAATTTTAATTATTTCTAGTCACTATTGGCATATCATAATTGGTAGCTTTACTCTAAAATAGTTATTGTATTTAACAACTATTATTGTGGTTTTTAAAATGTTTTCTGAAATTATTAAGCCATTTTAAAAATGGTCATTAGTTGTATAACGTGTGTTCAATTTCCGATAATTTAGGGTACTGCGAAGTTCAATACCTGTTCATAACCTACGGAAATATATGAAATATAGATGTCAAAAAAACATTTTGAAAAAAGTTGGACAAAAAGTCCAGATTATTATTTTTATTTCGGACAAATAGTTATTGTTGGATGAAAAGTCCAAAAATACAAAATTGTCTATTAAATTGTAATTAATAATTAATAATTTTATTAAACAATATTAATACATTATACTTCCTTATAGACTACAGCTTACAAAATATATTATAATTACATCCACCTTCAAATTTAAAATAATGGTCAATATAAAAGTACCTAAATATATAAGTAAGTAATAAGTATTAGGTACGTCAATAATACAAAAGTCGATCACTATTCACTACAATAATAATAATATAAAATAAGTTACGTTTTAAAAAATAGTCAATATAAACATCGATTAGGTATTGATTTTTTATTTTGATTTTTATTACAGTGATTAAAGTAATTAATTTTACTATTATATTAGGCATTAGTACCGTAGTAGGTTTAATTAATTTTACAGTATGTAGTTTTGACCAAAATTGAAATTAAGGTGTGTGTAAAAAATGATTGTGTTTATATATTTTCACACTGTTTGGTTAGGTACAGTATGAACTATGAACTATTCAAGAGAATCATTGTTTTAAATTTTCAATCTTTAGCTCTAAAAATTAAATATTTTATTATTTTTTAACTACAGAATAATTTAAAATACCTACTTGTTTGTACTCTAGTATGTTTAGAGCCGTTTTTTTACGCTTATCGTAATTTTTTACAAGGAGTGTTTTTGTTGGGATATTATCATTACAAGTCTCACACTCACACACACATACACTCGATTATGTAATAATAAAACTATCATCGCCCATCGGTTAACATACTCATTAAGTGTAAGCGGGATACGACATCCCGGTAAAATGTCGGCCGTTTATATCAGAGTTGGTGTATTTTTTCATTTTTGAATAAAAAAAACCTCCCATATTTACTTGGATTTTCACTGTTTTAAACACATGTTTAATAATTTTAAACAATTAACACTACGTTTAAAACAACTTGTATTAAATATGTTTAAAACAACTTGTATTAAACATGTTTAAAACATACATTTAAAACATCGTGTTTTTAACGAATCGCGAAAAAAGTCCCTATAAAAAAGAATGAAAATATATCAAAACTGCAGTATAAATAATATATGTTAAAATTGCATTGAAAAATATATTTAAGTTACACAACAAAATCATATAATATCATAAATAATGTATAATTGTTAATTACTAACTTAAATCACATATTAAAATATATAATAAAATAACATTTAATTGACAAGCAGCCACCATCGAATACGCCATAGAAACTTATATTAATTATGTACAAAATTGTCTTAATATCATAGAAATAAGTTCTCAATGTGAAAGCTTATAATAATTGTATCACAATGGCCTGTCGTCGAAGGTAATTTTGTTAATAAAATAAAAAAAGCGGGTAAGTGGATGTCGCTCTGCTGCACAGTAGGTTACAAGTTGGTAACTGTATAATGGGTTGTTTTAAATTTGAATTCAATGATATCATATCATTCAATCATTGTATACGAAAATTTGAGTGCCTTTGTACTCACGAATGATGTGTAAACATCTTAGCTGTAGTACGACTTTGATTTTTGGAATATAATGTCATGGTTTGAGTGGGAATTTGTATAATACCTACATATTATATGATACAAACACGGTTTCGCGCGTATACGTAAACGAGAATAATAAATAATATTAATAATAATAATGAATCGGCCGACGACTGTACCAGAGAGCGTTCGCACCTACCAGACTCGTGAAAATAACAAAGAAAATAATAGATAAGCAACTCGCCTGGTTTATTGGTTCTGCGATTTTAGGCCGGGGCTATAATATTATACACGTCGTTTTTTGCCGCCCCGAAAAACGCGGCGTATTACGCCCGTCGTGTATAGCTGCAATAAGCTGCTCCGATTTAAACCAATGCGTTTTTAAGGGGCCTGCACGCGACCGGTTTTTTTGCTCAAAAACATGCCTTACAGGAAAAACTCTCACGCCTCGTAGATTGGTCCGATTTCCGTAATTTTTTTTTTGTTAGATAGAGGAAGACTTCTTACAGGGCGCATTGGACTTGGATTTTCAACATTATTTTTCTAAGTCTTATGTTACAAGTTTGAATTTAATCAATTTTTACAACTTTTTAGTTTTTGTATTATTTTTTGTTTTTAGCCACGTAATCAAAAATCGAAGTCCAATGCGCCCTGTAAAAAATATTCCTCTATCTAACAAAAAAAAAATTACGGAAATCGGACCAATCTACGAGGTGTGAGAGTTTTTCCTGTAAATTGTGTTTTGACCGATATAATACACCCTATCAACCCCCCCTAAATAGGTATTGGGTAGTAGATTAGTGGAAAAGTCTTATAATTGAGGTGGCAACTAAAATATAAAATTTAATTTTCAAATTTTATAGAATTGCGGAAAATTTGAAAAATCGCGAGCAGGCCCCTTAATTCGACGGAAAACGCCGTCGGAATACGCCGTGTATAGCTCTATGGCGACGACACACACACACACACTCAAGCAGTCACATCTACATGACTTACGCCTGACGCTCGATTCCCCAAGAAAGTCGTAGGTACTCCAAACCGATAGCATAGATGTTTACACATCAAAAATTAACTTAAACTTAAATCAGTGGCGGCGCCAGGGGTGGGCCAGGGTGGGCCCGGGCCCACCTTAAAAAGTCCCAGGCCCCCCTGTGGCCCACCCCAAAAATTAAATTTAATCATATTAGAATACTAAAAAATATCTCATCAATAAATTATGATTAAAATTAAAAAGTGTTTACATGAATATATTTTTGTTAGGAAATAAATACTATTAATACAATACATGTTTACAAATCATTGTTTTAGTAAGTTTACACGATGAAGACGTGTAAAAAAAAATTGGAAGTTGACCCTCCCCCTTACTCCTTACCCCTCTGCGCAATTGCCTGTCATCGATATTGTTTATATATATATATCAAGTCAACAATTTGGCCCTCCCTAAAAAATTTGGGCCCCAAGCCTGGCCCACCTGGTATTAAAGTTCTGGCGCCGCCACTGACTTAAATCACATAATAAAATATATAATACAAAACAATAATAATATTTTAAAAATATTTATTTAGGTACACCTACATCGTACCTATATTGTGACTTACGGCTGTTATAAAATCTAACACATATAATAATATGTACAAGCATTTTATACGATAAAACTATTTCCACGGGTTATGATAGTTAGGTATTGTGGTAGATAACAAATATATATAGGT